CTGGAACAGTCTCTGGCAACAGACTTGATCATGTCACCAGGGCTGCCTGGCTAAGGACACTTTCAAGATACGCTGGTCATAAAGCCAACTTTTGTGGGCCAAGAACTGAGTGTGGAAAGCAATGGAAAGTGTGAATGTCTGTGAAGATGCTTGTCTGGGAACATGTGATGGTTTCTGTTGATTGTCAATGAGACATCAACCAAGAGATAAGCTTCCAGATGCACAGATTATGTTACCCGTGGCTATGGCTGTGTGGGAGCATGTTGATTAAATATGGCAGGGAGATCCATCCTAGACGTGTGTGACACCATTCCTGTGGGCTGGAGTCCTAGAACTGAATGGAAAGGAGAAAATGAGCTGAGCGCTGGCGCTCCTTGCTGCCTGCACCCTGACTGCATACCGCTGCACAGCTGCACCACGCTTCTGCCGCCGGGCCCTCCACCATGGTGGACTGTACTCACAGACCGTGAGTGGGAACAAACCCTTCCCACCTTCAGTTGCTTTTGACACAGCAACAGGAACAGTAACTGAGGCCGGAAGGAAGAGGAGGGAGAGCAAAGGATCTGTAGGGGAGGTGGACCAAGACAGGGTCAGTTAAGTGTGGGGGCAACCAAGTAAGTTGGCAGCAGATAAGGTAGATAGAGGAAAAGATGGATAGAGGGAGTGATTGGAAAGAATAGGAAAATATTGGAGAAAGACATACATATACACACACAAATGCATGCATGCACATATATTTGCATATGTGAGTACTCATCTGTGTTATGAACATGCACATACATATCTGTGCAGTTGCATACATATACATGTATAGGTGGAAAAAAGCAAGAACGGAGAGTCTGGGGAAGTTTGAGAATTACACACATACATGTCATTTCTCTCTATTATAAAATACTTCTGCCTGTGTGCCCACTTTTTTAATATGCAAAGATGAAGATGAGCTAGAAAGGAGAAATGAAGAATGAATCATTGTTGGAGTGTGACCTATAAGAAGGAGGAAGTGATCTGAAAGAAAGTGCTGGTGTCAGTTCTTTAGGCCAGCAGGAAGGTTGGGATGAGACCAGGAGTGGGGTGGAGGGTGGGAGTATGGGGAGTATGGGGAGTATGGGGAGCTGTCTCTGCTTTCTTAGGAAAGCTGGGAGGATGACCCAAACTGCAGATGGCTTTATTTTTATAAGCCGTGAGCTTTGGACAGGAGAGCAGGCCGGTGGGGGCTGGAGTGGTTAAGAGATAGGTCTAGGGGAGAGAGGGGATGTCAGATAGGTCCTGGTGAGAACTGTGGGATACAGTTGTAGTAACCAGGCTGTGTGGAGAGAATAGCTGAGCTTAGCATGATGAGCCAGATGAAGACAAAGAAGAGAGGGGGTGGGATGGGGGCTCCCAGAGAGGCTGGTGAACACAGGAGCTTTTACTCCATGGTGTGGAAGCAGGTTCCTATGGAAGAATATGATCTCCCAGGGAATCTCTCATCCACTGAGCATCAGTTCTGCTCAGCTATGGGAGACTCTGGGGACAAGCAGAGGGATTAAGATACTTCCCTCGCCCTAAGTGTTTCACAGCACAGGACTCAGAGCTGAAGAAGCCTCTCAAGAGGGCTGATGGAGTCCAGAAGTATCACTGGAAATGACTTGCTGCTAGAGGGGCAGTGGTCATCAGATGGTATGCTTCGTGGGTCACCATGAGTCCTATGCAGAAAGTTTAGGTTTCTGTCTCCTTGGTTATTTCTCTGGAATCATAAACATCTTCTCCATAGCTAAGGAGTGGGGACTGTGCCCCAGCTCCAAGTCATGACTGGTTGTGTGTCATCACTGACCAAACACCATAAGGAAGGAACCACCATTTCGATGTACTGTTTCAGAGGGTTTAGTCCTTGTTTTGCTGACCTGTTATTCCTGGCAGATGAGAAATTTTAGCACCAAACCATCAGGGCTAGTGACTCCATGCATTTGGACAAAGCATCATGGTGGCAGGAATGTGTGGTGGAGGCTACTTTCCTCTTGGTGGGTGAGAATCAAGGCAAGTAATATAGGGAAGGTCAGGGCAAGGTATAACCCTAAGGACATGACCCCAGGGACCTACGTCCTCCTACCTTTGCGTTCCCCCACCTCCCAGTGGTCTACTCAGATTTTGAATCTGCCAGGATCAATCCATGTCCTAGTCAGAGTTCTCAATAGGAACAGAATCAATGGGGTGAATGTACAGGTACATATGAGCTTCTTAAGTCAGTTCATGTTAAAATAGTAACAGCAGCTGAGTTCCATCTGAGACCTGTGAACCTCTCGGTGGTTACTGGGTCCTTGAGCATAGTGTAGGCCCTGAAGTAACTGCCTCACACTGGGGAGGCCAACAATCAGGTAGTTGCTTAGTCCCCAAGACTGTGTGCCTTAGCAACTCCAATTTATCACCAAAAACTGGAAAGGTTTCTGGAGAGCTGTTAGTCCTTAGACTTTTATGGAAAGCTGGAAACACTGGTCTGGCATCAGTGTCAGCAGTAACAGGTTGAATCAACTCAGCAGCAAGAGGGAGCCTGTCTTAGTTAGGGTTTCTACTGCTGTGAAGAGACCCCGTGACCACTGCAGCTCTTATAAATGAAACCTTTTAATGGGGTGGCTCAGAGTTTCAGAAATCCAGTCCATTATCATCATTATGGGACATGGCAGTGTGCAGGCAGATGTGGTGCTGGCTACATCTTGATCAGAAGGCAGCAGGAAGTGGACTAAGACACTGGGTGGTAGCTTGAGCGTATGAGGCATCAAAGCCTGTCTCCACAGTGTCACACTTCCTCCAACAAGACCACACCTACTCCAACAAAGCCTCACTTCCTAATAACACCACTCCCTATGAGCTTTTGGGGTCAGTTACATTCAAACTATCACATAGCCCAAGCAAGCCCAAGGTGAGATCTATTCCTTCTGCTATACCCTCAACCTGCACTGCTACCAGGAGATGCTGTCCACAGTCAGGGTGGGTTTTCCCAAGTCAACTCAGGCAATCAGGGTAATCCTTCAGTTGAGGATCCCTATGCATTTGATTCTAGAATTGACATTGAAACCAACTACAATAATCCATTCATGAAGACAGGGATTTCATTATCAAACCATTTCCTAAAAGTCCATGGGCTGGCAACCATGAATCTATGGGATCTTTTTCATTCAAAGCATAATGGTCAGTCCCATGTTTTTATGAGTGTGGATCAGTGAGCCTCACAGACCTGCTTTGGATGTAGGTACAGGAGTTTGTAAAGAATTACTGATCAGAAGACAGAAGAGATTGCTGCACACAGCTGGCAGGAGTCAGGTACTGAAGAAATCAGTGTGGAGGTTTTGCAAAAACTAGACATAGATCTTCATATGACCCATTGATATCATTCCTGGTGGTTTATACAAAAGACTCCAAGTCCATAGATCTCAGAGGTACTTGTACACCAGTGTTTATTACAGCAACATTCACACAGTTAAATTATAGAATAAACCTAAGTGTTCAGTAACAGAGGAAAAGATAAGGAATGACCTCCACACTGCTTTCTTCAGCCACAAAAAAATAGTAGAGTTATAGTATTTGTTGGAAAATGGATGCAACTGACAAGAATCATATGAAGTGAATTAAGCCAAGTCCCAGAAACACAAATGTCACATATGTTTTCTCTCATTGATAGTTCCCAGATTTTATATAGATCCGTAAATCATGTATGTACAGATGACATGAAAGTAGAAATGAAACTGTCTGAGGGATGTGGAGGGGGGACATCTGGAGGGGAAGGGTGGGAAAATGGAGAGCATCCCGGTTTGCTTTTCTGTTGCTGTGACAAAACACTGACCCAGCCAACTTTGGGAGGAAAGGGCTACCTTGATTTACAGTTCCACTCAGGATTCATCATTGAGGGAAGCCAGGGGCAGAACTTGGAGACAGAAACTGAAACAGGGGCCATGGAAGACCAGCGCTCTTCAGCTTGCTCAGCCTGCTTTCTTGTATAACCAGGTCCATGTGCCCAGGGTTTTCCCCACATACAGTGAACTGTGCCCTCACAGCAGATACCGTTAGTGAGTAAAATGTCCCACTGACTTGGCCATAGTTCAGTTGGATAGAGGTGATTCCCCATTTGAGGTTTCCTCATCCCAGGGAACTCTAGTTTATATCAGTTTGAAATAAATAGGTAAATAAAAAACAAACAGCCGGGCGGTGGTGGATCTCTGTGAGTTCAAAGCCAGCTTGGTCGCCAGAGTGTGTTTCAGGACAGTCTCCAAAACAATACAGAGAAACCCTGTCTCAAAAAGCCAAAAACAAACAAACAAATAAATAAAACAAACAACAAAACAAAAACCCAACTAACATAGAGATTAAGGGAAGGGGGGAGGGTAGGACATGTGCAATCTATGGTATATAGACTTGAAAACTTCCTAAAACATGAAGGAAGCAAAACAAAATGACAACAAAAGAATTGCCAGTTGGAGAATCCAAATAAAATGCCAGATGCACTCCCATGAGCCTAGAGATCAGGAGGCCAAAGCAGGAAGACCTAGAGTTTGAGGATAGCCTGGGCTAAAAGAAAGACCATGTGTCCAAAGCAAAACAAATAAAACAGAAGCCCAAAAACGAATGAAAGGTCCTGTGCTTCAAGCTTCCTCTGCTTCTTTAATAATAGTTAATTTTTTATGTGTATGAATGTTTTTCCTTCATACATGTATGTGCACCTTGTGCCCACAGAGGTCACAAGAGGGAGTTACAGGCAGTCATGAGCCACCATGTAGGTGCTGGGAATCAAACCTGGACCATTTGCAAGATGTCCCTAACCACTGAACTACCCCTCCAACCCCGGCTTCCTCTTCTTTCTCACACTCCTGTAAACAGAAATGGACATAGGAGGGTGCTGCAGCGTCCTTGTGAGGAGAAGCCTTGACATAAAGTCTACAAGGACAGAAACATGCAGGAGACCGTGTCCACATGGAGCAGGACACTTAACAATCCAGGAGCTCCATGACTGGTCCTTTTTATTCTTCCAGAACACTCATAAACGAAGCTGGTGACAGATTGCCTCTGTCCTGGGATGAAGAGAGAGGCTTCCTGAGCTGCAGGAGCAGGCTGTGGGAACAGACGTGTCCGAATTTACTGGGATTTAGCGTCCACACGGAGCTGCGTGAGATTTTTATTTTGTTTTGTTTCATGGTGCATCTGGGCATTGCTATCTGAGAACTGATTCCCTTCCTTCCTGTTCCAAGAGAGTGCCTTGCAGGCTTCACTGATGTGGGGCCAGGCAGACTGGTCCCTCACTCGCTGGGTTGTGAGTTTTGGCTGACGAGAAAGGAAAGGAAGTCGGTGTCTCCGATCATCTGTCTCTTGCTTCCTTTTTGTTACGAACAGAGGAGGCTGGGTTCTCCAATTGACTAGTCCAAATTCTAATAAAATCCTGACCCATGGGGGCTGGAGAGATGGCTCTGCAGTTAAGAGTACTGGCTGCCCCTGTAGAGGACCTGGGTTTGTTTCTCAGCATGTACATGATGGCTCACAACCATCTGTAACTCCAGTTCTAGGGCATCTGATGCCCTCTCTGGCCTTTCCAAGCATATTCATGACGTATACATAAATACACTCAAGCTCATAAAATACCATACCCATGGACTTTTTCCTCCGAGAGAATGTTATCCAGCTCTCCAAGGACCCAGACACACCAACCAAGACCTTTCTGTTGAACTATGATAGCATCAGGTCTAAGGTGCGCGGTGATCTCCCAGACATGTGGTGTGGTGTGGTGTGTGTGTGTGTGTGTGTGTGTGTGTGTGTGTGTTGTGTGCGCCTGCACACATGTCCTTTCTTTTTTTCTCTGCAACATCTGAGAAGTCAATTGAGGCCAAGCAGGTTTAGAGCTCTGCCTGGCTAAAACCAACCTCACTGAGGATGACCAGTGCTTACCAGATGCTTCTCTGTTCCTGGCAGCCCACCTCTCCTCAGCTAGCTAAAACAATAATTACCCATCCCTGAGAGTTACCTGCATGGGAACGGAGGTGGGCTTACTTCTCGGGGAAGGCACACTGCTTATGAATATAAGGTGTGATGGACTATCACCAAGTGTATTTCATTTCTGTGATTGCACTCTGTGTACATGGATGGACTCAGGGCTGCAGAGAATGTATGTTTGTAACTGTGGGAATGAGGTTACCTGTAAGGCTGAAGGCGCTGAAAACAGCACACCGTGTATCCAATTAACCATTCAAGACAGGGCATGTTGATGTCTCCTCAGGAGAGCAGTATGTGGTCAGGAAGCTGAGGCACTGGGGTGGGTGTGGAAGAAGGAGGTTCTTTCTTCCCATTGGTTTACAGTTGGTCTCCAGTTAGAAGACGTGGTGGGCCAATATGTGAAAGAAAGCCGTTATAGAGTTAAGACCTGGGGGCCTGGGAAGCTAGCTCAGTGGGTAAGACCACATGGTGCACCAGCATGAGGGCCTGAGTTCGAATCCCCAGCACCCACTTAAAAAGCCTGTGATCCCAGGGTTGTGGGTGTCATAGACAGAAACATGGCTAGCTGATAGCCTAGCTCCAGATTCAGTGAGACCCTGACTCAGGAAATGAGGTGGAGTGATATAGAAGGATGTGACTCAAGGGATAAGGTGGAGTCATACAGCAAGACATCTGACCTCTCTGGTTTCCAAATGTGCTCCTGGGTATGTGGTGCTGTGCACCCGTGTATGCGTACACCCTCTCATCCACACAAGAACAGATAGGTGAGTGTTGACAGGGTGGCCTCTAGAAATGATTTTTCTCAAGAACAATGTATATTTAACCCAATGGGCTACCATTTGGAGAAAGCCCTACCTTTGAAAATATCCAACTCCCTTATAATTCTTCCTTTCCCAACATTACTCCCGTCATTCCTGGCATCAGTGTGTCCGGAGGGCTGGATCCCAGTCTTGGAGTGGACCTTGTACCCTGTGAGTCAAGAAAAGACTTCAATGGAGGTTTCCATATAGGATGGGCCATTCTAACCCAGGGGCTCTCTATTTATAGATTAATAAACCACTGCTATCTTTGGAGGACTTTGCTATTGTAACTCATTCTCCTAAAACCTGGTCACTTCTGGTCACTGGAACACTACATTGTTGGACCAGAATTTGGAGCAGTGTTCCTGTGGGCAAGGCCATGACAATTTCTCTGTGACAACTTCCTGTCTTAGACAAGGCACATGGGTTTCCTAAACCCGAGGTTGGCTTAGACTGAACTCTGAAGTAGTTATTTTTGCTCATTCTAGAACCCCACGAACACTTTTGGACCAGATTGCTCTTTTATGGCAGAAGTCTGTCCTGTATATTATGGAAGATTTAGTAGCATCTCTAACCTCAACCCTGGATACCAGTGCCACCTTGCATTGTAGCTATGACAACCAGAAATGATGCTAAGTGCTGTCAAATATGTACTAGGAGGCAAAACCACCTGGGTAGAGAACCAGCCCTCTTGGAGCTAAGAAGGAACAGAGTTTCCCAGAGGAACATGGCATAATCCTGCACATAACTATGCTGGTGTGTCGCTTCACATTGTGCTGGTCACATGAGCCCACAAAGTTCATATAGTACAATACTTCTCAAACTCAACTCAACGGGGTGTCATAGAAACCGAGAATAGCATTTATTAGGTCTGGAATGGTGCCTGAGACTATGCAGCCCTAACAAGCTGCCAATCAATGTTGACACTGTTGATTCTCAGATGACACTTTGGGCAGTGAGAATGTAGGCCAGACATCTACATGATACAGTCCCTGGACCAACTTGAGATGACTTTGTTTTTTGTAAGTTTCTTTTAATTTTAATAATAAGTATGTATGTGGGGGTATTTGTATGTGAGTGCGGGTACCTGAGGGAACCAGACAAGGGTGTGTTAGATTCCTTGAATCCAGAGCTGCAGGTGGTTGTGAGTTGCCCAACGTGGGTGCTGAGAAACAAACCCAAGTCCTCTGTAAGAGCAGTGGGTGCCGAATGAAGGTTGCAGTCAAATAACATAGAAAGTTGAAGGAGCTTGTTTCCCCTGGGAATTAAAGACAATCTGGCATTGTGGAAGCTTTCGGTGAGCTTATATCTGTCTGTAGGTGTGTGGCCTGCGGAGGAGGCTCCGTAGGAACTGAGGTCAGAGTCATAGAAGTGCCTGTTATTAAAGTGAATGGAGACTGGCTGTGGGCTTAGGCTGCCGCCCGTGATCACATCTGTGTTGTGGAAACACACCCCAGCTGGTGAGTGGGTACTCACTTTAGCCAGGAGGAAGAGTCATCAAAATGAGCGTGTGGGAGACTGTTGCAACACTCAGCACTGAGTGACATGGCCTGCACCACGGAGCATTGGTGAGGACAGGTGGGAGGGGGTTGATTTGAAGTAGCTGTTTCTCTTCCTGGATCCTGGGGTCCTTAAATATACTCAGCCCAGAAGTGAGGAGGGGGCCAGTGGCCTGGTCTCCCACTATTCGCCTGTATCCTTCAGTGTTCACCTTTCAGAGATGCTAACGGCTAGTAAAGGAACACGCCTTGCTGTGGCTCAAGGCTGGGGGGAAGGGAGTCCTGTCCGTCCCTGTGTCCCTGCCTCTGCCACAGCCCCACCCCAGGATTCCCGAGCGCATTAGCTCCCACTCTTCCTTCTGACATTCTGAGCTTTAAACAAAAGTATTAAGAAAGATTGGGTACTTTTTCAGGGGTGTTTGCCTACCACTGTGCCTGAACAACCTTACTGTGTCATCCCCCCGACTGCTACCCTGCCTGACAGTTTTGTTGTTGTTTTTAACCTCTTACTTCTGGACTCTGAGGTCCCTCCATCCTTGCCCTAATCCCGGCCACATCACTGATCCAGGAGCAGACTGAGCTCCCAAGTCTTTATGGGTGTTTTAGAACTACACATATGGCTGGCAGCTGTGGGATGGGCATCGCTGACCCATCGCCAAGGGTGGCGTGCTTTGACCCGAGGGACGAGGCACCTGATCAAAGTACGTCGGTGCGGGCTTCCAGAAAAGGACAGGAGCAGAGCAGTCCCCGAGGTGATGATGTGGCTCTAATTGCCGGTTTCTCGAAAATGAACCAGGAAGAAGGCAGTGAAGCATATGAGGAATGGCCGAGGGAGGGCTGCAGTGGGGGCTGAGAAAAGTCCGGAAAAAGAGTGTTACTGCCTCTCGAAAGCCAGGCGCCTGCTCTGATCAAAGGACAAAACCCAGATCGTTGTGGCTGCCTGCCTGGGAAAGGTGGCTTCCTTTGGGACCCTGGTTCTTTGTTACTGAGCACAGGCTGCTGGAAACACAACCCCAGGAAAGCAGACTGTGTGTGCCTCATTGCTCACTTTATGTCTCCAAACAGGAGAAGAGAGGGAGGGGGCCACGCTCTTCCAGAAGTGTCCAGCTCTCCTCCTGATGCCATATGAGGCTGCCCCTCAACCCCAGCGCAGAGCCAGTGGCGGCGGAGCCCTCGGAGATGACTTTGCTCAGCAGTGTCCTGGCGGCCTGTTCCTATATCTCAGGTGGGTGCTGGTGTCTGCTGGCCAGGGCTGTGACCCGGTACCGAGTCCTGGGCTGCTTCCTGCTGGCCAGGTGAGAAGTGAGTGGCCATCACGGGGAGGCTCTGCTCCAGATGAAAGTTCTCCAGCCTCTTATTTGAGTGTGATATTCTCTAATTTGGCAGGTGCACACTCCCAACAGCCTTGCCTTTCTGGAGAAATGTTTAGTTGCCTTTCGGCCATGGCTGCTGCTGGTTTCTGTACTCAGCACATCAACCAATAAGTTATTGAGGAGTCCAGCAGCCTGATTATTTCTGTAGGTCCTCAACCCCACATGGGGTTCTTTGTCTATGAGTGTGAGTGTGTGTGTGTGTGTGTGTGTGTAAGAGAGAGAAAGTGTGTGTGTATGTGTTTTCAGGGGCCATCAGAGATGTTTAAGAGCCTTCTGGAGAAAAGGTAGACAGAAGGTATTTGACTCTGAGAGACCTGATGTTGACCTCTTTTTGATTCTAAGTCATGCTCTTCAGCAAGATGGCTGAGCCTCCCTCCCCCCGCCCCGCCTTTTTTTTTTTCTGGAGACCAGACATTGTTCATATAAAAGGTACTATCTAATAGCACATGGAAATGCCCTCTCGTTTGAGTGACCAGACTTGTGCTGCTGGAGTGCTTTAACCTTTCATGTCTTGATAACTTGCTTGTATTTTGGTTTGTTTTGGCTGGAGTTTTGTGGATACTATATGAAGAAGGGGCTGATGCTTTGATTCGACTCCCTTTAGGGGAAGGATTTTATTTTCTAATTTTCTAGCCAGAGCTCATATTGGTAATTTAAGGCTTCAAATGTAAAACCCAATGCTTCTATTTACAATGGCTCAGTCAATGTAAGAGAACTTCTCAGGGCTAACCCACAGGCTTATTTGTGGTGGCCCGATGGGATCATGTATGAGTTACTTTCTTGCTGCTGTGATACAACACCCCAAAAAAAGCAACTTAAGAGAGAAAGGGTGTGTGGTAGTTTATAGTTCAAGGTTCCAGCCCATCTTGTTGGGAAAGTCAAGGCAATGGGAACTTGAAGCAGTCGACCGTATTATCTCACAACCAGGATCAGAAAGCAGCGAGTACAGGTATTACTTGGGTATTATTCTGTGTTTACATAGCCAAGATCCTATGCTCTGCCTAGGGGATGGGTGCACTTATCCCAACTGAGATTGACTCTCTCACATTAACTAACATAAGAAATACAATCTCCCAAAAGACATGAAGTTGAGAGGGGGTAAGGGTGAGCCTAGGAGGAGCTGGGGGAGGAGGGTGGATGGATATGATCAAAATACATTGCATGCAAGTATGAAATTCTCAAAGGGCTAATTAAAATGTTTTTAAAAAGATAATCTCTCACAGACACTCTCAGAGGCTAGCCTTAGTCTAGAGACAATCCCTCACAGGTATACCAAAGTCTGTTAAGTTGACCATCAACACTGACTATTATAGGACATCTAGTCCATGGGTGTCATACATCCTGTTTTTTTTTTTTCATGATGCAGAGAATCCAACTCCCAGTTAAGGAAATCTGATACCTACTACCTCCTTCCTGGGCATCCACCCATCAGAGAGACTTCACTCCTGTATTTTATTTATTTTTTTTGACACAGTCTCAATGTGTCTTCAAATGTCCCATGTGCTGCTGCCGCCGATACATGTGGTGTATGCTGGAGCATGAACCCAGGGCTTCACGCAGGTTAAGTTAGCACTCTACACACTGAGCTACACTTCCAGCCCCTTTGCTGTTTACTTGAGTTGCACTGGGGATAAAGGACGCCAAAGCTGGGTTAGGGAAGTTTGGGACTGTGACAACATGTTTACATGGTGACCTGAGGAGGGTGAACCGACTCTTTCCTGAATACTTCCCCGCAGTGAGGCTGTGGGCAGCAGGAGGGCCTGGGATTTCCACAATTTCAAGGATACCTGCACAGCGGCTCTTGGATAAGAATGCCTCTGATGAGAGCAAACAGCACTGGACTTTGGCCCTCTGCTCAGCAAATGAGGCACTTGGCAGGTTTCCGTTTTGACCAGCCTGACCCTGAGTTGTGATCACTGATGTGGTTATCCATTGAATTGGCTGCTGTTTACTGGGTGTCTTGTGATCTCGTTGAGGCTGAAAATGCCCGTGGCCCCATTTTTCTGTCTCCTCCAACTTCCTTTTTCCTACCCCATTACACTGGAATTCATTATTATGTGAGACACAGTAAAACTTCTCCTTCTTTGAAGTGGGCATGTGGGAGGGGCATGCTGAGGAGAGGGCTCAGCAGGTGAAGACATGTGCTACCAAGCCTGACAGCGTGAATCTGCACCCCAGGATCCACATGATGGAAAGACAGAACCAGCCCCAGGAAGTTGTCCTCTGACTTCCACACTCGTGCCCTGGCACAAGCGCCACCCCACCCAAATAAGTAAATACATGTGAGCATGTTTTAATTAAATGAACATAGGCTCAGCAGAAAAAAATCAATGGAATCCCGAAATTTGCAGGCAAATGGATGACACTAGAAGAAACCATCCTGAGTGAGGTAACACAGTCACAAAAAGAGAAACATGGCATGTACTCTCTCATATATGGATTTTAGACATAGACCTGAGGAGTGCCAGCCTACAATCCCATGGCCAGAGAGTCTGGGAAACAGAAACTTCATTCAGTGGCTGATGGAAGAAGAGGCACACTCCCATGGCTAAGCACTGAGCTGAACTCAAGAAAGCCAGTAACAGAGAAGGAGGACTGATGACCAAAGGGATTAAGACTGGGCTGGTTTAACCCCCAGAAACAGGTGACCTGACAAAGGTTAACTCTTGAATCCCAGGCATCAGCCTGGGAATCCAGCATGGGACTGATCAAGACCCCCTGAATGTGAGTGTCAGTGAGGAGGCCTAGGTAATCTATTGAGCCTTGGGCAGCAGATCAGTACCCATCCCGAGTATACACAGGGACTTTGGACTCCCATCCAACAATGTGAGGTGCACTCTCACCCTGAACTCTTGGGGAAGGGTCTAGGCCCTGCCCTATATGAAATGACAGACTATGGACCCCCCATGGAGAGCCTCACCCTCCCTGGGGAAATGAGGGGGTAATGGGGGGGTTGGGGAGAGGGCACAGGAGGAGGGGAAGGAAAGGGAGAGGGACCTGGAACTGACTTGTGAAGCAACCTTGATTCTTATCTAAATTTAAACTGAAAAATAAATAATAATAAAAAATAAATGAGCACAGGCTAAGATTTAAAGTGAATGCCAGAAAATGGAAACTTGGGTATCTAAAATAAAATGTCTTATGTGCAGTAAAAAGACAGTGGATTAAAATTGATTCTGAGTGGCTAAACAGATGGCTTAGCAGTGAAGAGTGAATACTACTCTTGTAACTCCAAGTTCAGTTCCCCATACCTGCACATGACAGCTCGTAACCTCCTGTAACTTCAGCACTAAGAGATCTTGTGCCATCTGCTGGCCTCCACAGGCACCTGCATGCAGGTGCACATACTCCCACACAAATGCACACATGAATAATTTTTTTATTCTAAAATCAGGCACCCTCCTCAATTACAATGGCAATGAAAAAGAAATGTTAAAACACAAAGATGAATACAATAAGTTAAAAGTAATACTGTCCTTAAAGGAAATGTGGTAATAAATTAGAAACAAAGGTAAAAAGCACGGCAGGAGAGACTTGTGGGAATATCTTGATCATGCCTTGCTCTCTCCCCTGCCCTTTCTCCTCTGTCTGGTGATTGGTTTCAATGGGACCCAGCATCTCCAGCTTACTCTCAGCGCTTCGGTTGTGTGCTGGTTGATCTTCATTGTCGACCTGAACGGATGGAGAGATGCCTACAACTTTGGCACATGTCTGGGTTTGTCTAATGGGCTTTTTGAAAATTGGTACCGAACAGTGAACCAAGTCAGGAAGACTCATCTTGAGTGTGGGCGTCTCTGTTCATAGACTGGGGGTCTAAGTGGAACAACAACGAAAAAAAAGAGGAAGAAGGGGGAAAACTTGTACACAGGTGGTGTCTTTGTGCTGCTTTCTGCTGCTGTGATTAAAATCCTGACAAAAACAACCCAGGTGAGGCAGAAAGCATTCACTTTTGATCACAATTCCAGGTCAGAGTCCACAACTACAGGAGAGTGAAAGTGCCTTTAATTTGAAGGGGCTAGTTGTGTCCACAGTCAAGATCAAAGAGAGAATGCAGGCGTGTGTGGTTGTATTGCGCTCGCTTCCTTCACTCTCATACAGCATAGCATCAACTACATAGGGAACGGTACTGTCCATAGTGGGCTGGGTCTTTTCACCTTGATTAACTCAACTGGACAATTTCCCACAGACCTGCAAACAGGCCAACTGGAGCTAGACAACCACTGAGATTCTCTCCCCTTAAGAATCAAGGTTGTGCTAATTTGGTAATTACAGCTAACTGTCATAGGTAAGTGTGACTCTTCCTGAGAGGTATGGTTTTTGCTTCTGGCATTGACATCAGATTCCAGGATAGTCCATCTTTCTGCAGGGACTTCTACCAGCATGAAACCCTCCAGCTCTTCAGCCTGCATTACTGGTCCCTCTTCTTCTGGGGCTTCTAGCTGCTCCAACAACTGAGCAGTGGTTGGCTTCCGCAGTTCTCCAGCCTGCAGACTGTGGGAGTCTATAGCCTCTGATCCTGAGTCTAACAAATTCTACCCCTCTTATTCATTCTGTTCCTTAGAAGAATCCTGATTAATACAAGTTATCTCTCATCCAAAACATAAAGTCCAATTCTTTAGCAACACACTTGATACTTCTAGTGCATACGGTTGTCTTAGTTCTTTGTCTGATGAATCTCTCTCTCTCCCTCTCTCTCTCTCTCTCTCTCTCTCTCTCTCTCTCTGTGTGTGTGTGTGTGTGTGTGTGTGTGTGTGTGTGTGTGTGTTAGGGATCATAGGAGGTTGTTGAACTTTCCAGGAGAAAGGGAGATAGATGGTTGTGTAAATCTGGGAGTCCCTTATGTTTGTCTTCT